TCCAGATTGGGTTACTTCCGTAACGGAACGTAAAATGTTTTCCCACGGACCTAGTGACCAGTTGTGTCCTCTGATTGGCTGTCCAATAATTTGCCACGCCAACCAACTTCTCCCACGTCAGTCATTCAGTGACAGAACAATGGGCGTATACTCTGCAGTCACTGCTTGTTCTCAACAGCCAATCAAAAAGTAGGAGGCGACCCGAACAGTTGACTGTTACTAAAATCTTGATTACCGATCAACGTATTACATTACCGATCAACAGTGCACAATGTAAATTCGTGGGAACTTGTCAACCGATATCGTTTACACTTTCATTGCGCTCACAGTAATGGTAGGTCAGTCAATGGTGAGTCGATCAATGGTAAATCTATCAATGGTGAGTTTATCAATGGTGAGTCGATCAATGGTGAGTCTATCAAAGGTAATTCTATCAATGGTAAGTCTATCAATGGTGAGTATATCAATGGTGAGTTTATCAATGGTGAGTCGATCAATTGTAGGTATATCAATGGTGAGTTTATCAATGGTAATTCTATCAATGTGAGTATATCAATGGTGAGTTTATCAATGGTGAGTCGATCAATTGTAGGTCTATCAATGGGGAGTGTATCAATGGTAGGTCTGTCAATGGTGGGTCTATCAATGGTAGGTCTATCAATGGCAGATATATCAATGGTTAATCTATCCATGGTAGGACTATCAATGGTAGGTCTATCAATGGTAGGACTATCAATAGTGAGTCTATCAATGGTAGGTCTATCAATGTGAGTCTATCAATGGTAGGTCTATCAATGATAAGTCTATCAATGGTGAGTCTATCAATGGTAGGTCTATCAATCTGAGTCTATCAATGGTAGGTCTTTCAATGATAAGTCTATCAATGGTGAGTCTATCAATGGTAGGTCTATAAATGGTAGGTCTATCAATGGTAGGTCTATCAATGGTGAGTCTACCAATAGGGAGTCTATCAATGGTGAGTCTATCAATGGGAGGTCTACCAATGGTGAGTCTATCAATGGTGAGTCTATCAATGGTAGGTCTATCAATGGTGAGTCTATCAATGGTAGGTATATTAAGGTAGATACATCAATGGTTTATCTATCAATGGTGAGTCTATCAATGGTGAGTCTATCAATGGTAGGTCTATAAATGGTAGGTCTATCAATGGTAGGTCTATCAATGGTGAGTCTACCAATAGGGAGTCTATCAATGGTGAGTCTATCAATGGGAGGTCTACCAATGGTAGGTATACCAATGATAGGTCTATCAATGGTGAGTCGATCAATGGTGAGTCTATCAAAGGTAATTCTATCAATGGTAAGTCTATCAATGGTGAGTCTATCAATGGTGAGTTTATCAATGGTGAGTCGATCAATTGTAGGTATATCAATGGTGAGTTTATCAATGGTAATTCTATCAATGTGAGTCTATCAATGGTGAGTCTATCAAAGGTAATTCTATCAATGGTAAGTCTATCAATGGTGAGTATATCAATGGTGAGTTTATCAATGGTAATTCTATCAATGTGAGTCTATCAATGGTGAGTCTATCAATCGTAGGTCTATCAATGGTGAGTCTATCAATGGTAGGTCTGTCAATATGAGTCTATCAATGGTAGGTCTTTCAATGATAATTCTATCAATGGTGAGTCTATCAATGGTTGGTCTATCAATGGCAGATTTATCAATGGTTAATCTATCCATGGTAGTACTATCAATGGTAGGTCTATCAATGGTAGGACTATCAATAGTGAGTCTATCAATGTGAGTCTATCAATGGGAGGTCTATCAATATGAGTCTATCAATGGTAGGTCTTTCAATGATAATTCTATCAATGGTGAGTCTATCAATGGTAGGACTATCAATATGAGTCTATCAATGGTAGTTCTTCCAATGATAAGTCTATCAATGGTGAGTCTATCAATGGTGAGTCTATCAATGGTAGGTCTATCAATGATAAGTCTATCAATGGTGAATCTATCAATGGTGAGTCTATCAATGGTAGGTCTATCAATATGAGTCTATCAATGGTAGGTCTTTCAATGATAAGTCTATCAATGGTGAGTCTATCAATGGTAGGTCTATAAATGGTAGGTCTATCAATGGTAGGTCTATCAATGGTGAGTCTACCAATAGGGAGTCTATCAATGGTGAGTCTATCAATGGTAGGTCTATCAATGGTAAGTCTGTCAATGGTAGGTCTATCAATGGTAGATACATCAATGGTTAATCTATCAATGGTGAGTCTATCAATGGTGAGTCTATCAATGGTAGGTCTATAAATGGTAGGTCTATCAATGGTAGGTCTATCAATAGTGAGTCTACCAATAGGGAGTCTATCAATGGTGAGTCTATCAATGGGAGGTCTACCAATGGTAGGTATACCAATGATAGGTCTATCAATGGTTGGTCGAGCAATGGTGTATGTCTATCAATGATAGGTCTATTGATGGCAGATATACCAATGGTAGGTCTATCAATGGTTAATCTATCAGTGGTAGGTCTATCAATGGTTTATCTATCAATGGTAAGTATATCAATGGTAAGTCTATCAATGGTAGGTCTATCAATGGTGAGTATATCAATGGTGAGTCTATCAATGGTAGGTCTATCAATTGTGAGTTTATCAATGGTGAGTATACCAATGGTAAGTCTATCGATCAAAGAAGTGTCAATCAATTGTTGTAGTGTCTTTATTTGTCAATATTGCTTTATACCTATTTGTAGTATTTAGCTGTGCACCTTCATATGTAACGGAAATCAGGCTTCCATGTAATAATGTATGTGACGCATTGCAGTTGAAACTTTTAGCGTGCGAGCGGAAATAGCAAATGGAAATGTGAGTGAGATACTGGGCAGATGTGATGTTATGTGTTGTCAACCTGGATGTCAAGTACGTATTGTCTATGTATAGTATTCCTATTGTTGAATGTTGGGTAGTTTACCTGGCGCACAGGTCACTTTGAACAGACCGGCCAGAGCGAACACAGCTATACCTATATACGTACTTATACCTAGACAGTATAGAGATCGAGAGATGTAGCGGGCAATAGAGCCAAAAATAGTAAAGTAAACGTAAGTGCGGGTCTATAAATTTTAGTGTAATTTATTATAGTATATATTGAATAATATATTGAATTACCATAATATATTTTTGTTTAAAAGTTAAGTTATTATTTGAAAGTCTCTGTAAATTTAGATATCGGGCATGGTCAATTTAGTAGACAAGTGATTTTGAAGAAGCAAATTTTTAATATAATTTCTGTTTTCATTTATATAGTGTGTACTGAACGAATCAGACTGAGGACTCAGCAAATTTTGTTCAGAGAAAACAGGCTCTTCACATTGAAGAGATGGGTATTTTATATATTATGTTGTATAATTAGACAAGAGGCCCAGGGGGCCTGTATCGCTCACCTGGATAATGAAGCAACCATGGGAAATTATTCTTATTACATAAAATCCCTCCAATGGAGAAGAAAGATTTGAAAGATTAAAACCTCAAATTTCCCTATTGGGCCCCGCAACTCTCAGCACCCAGAGGGGCTCCACCCTTCGTTTATACAAAATTTAGTCCCCTTTCCCCAGTGATGCTCCAGGCTAAATTTGGATAAAATCCCATAATTCTTATGGTAGAAGAAGGATTTCAAAGCTTTTTACCTCTATTTCCCCTATTGGGCCCCTTGGCTCAAGCATGCTCCAGACAAAATTAGGATAAAATCCCTAATAATCCCTATTGTAGTTCAAAGGTTTTTACCTCTATTTCCCCTATTGGGCCCCACCCCTCTGCCCCAAGGTGGGCCACACCTACCCTTTAAACAAAGTTGATTCCCCTTAGCCCAAGGATGCTCCAAACCAAATTAGGATGAAATCCCTTAATCCCTACATTAGAAGTAGGATTTTGAATGTTTTACCTCAATTTCCCCTATTGGGTCTCAGTCTACTGCCCCCAGGGGGTCCACACCCACCATTTATACAACATTGAGTCCCCATGGCCTAACGGTGCGCCAGACCAAATTTAGTCGAAACCTACTAGGCTGTTAAGGACAAGTAGCGTTTTAAAGCAAAAGTTGATGGGCGGATGACAGACAGACGGACTGACAGACGATGGACGCTGCGCCATGGCATAAGCTCACTTGCCCTTCAGACAGGTGTGCTAATAAACTGATATTTCTATAAAATATATAGATTGAACAAGGCAAAGTTTAAGTATTGCAAGGCAACCCATAGTCCCCCATCAGTAATGATTTCTGTATTTAACAAACAGTACACATATATCAGTAAGTATAGGTCACAGTGAGGTCATAGTGACCTACTTCCTGTACTCGGCGTGCCGCCATCCTAAGATGTCCTTGTACACCAAATCTGGTTACTCCAGGTAAAATAGTATAGAAGAAATGCCCCGGACACACAAATTTCAAAAGTAAATGTCAAAGGTCAAGTCATTCGTCACAGTGACCTAATTGTTACACTCTGCACTCCGCCATCCCAAGATGTCCTTGTACACCAAATCTGGTTACTCCAGGTAAAATAGTATAGAAGATATCCCCCAAACAAACATTTTCAAAAGTGAATGTCAAAGGTCAACTCATTCGTCACAGTGACCTAATTCTTACACTCTGCACTCCGCCATCCCAAGATGTCCTTGTACACCAAATCTGGTTACTCCAGGTAAAATAGTATAGAAGAAATGCCTCGGATAAACATTTTCAAAAGTAAATGTCAAAGGTCAAGTCATATGTCACAATGACCTAATTCTTGCACTCTGCACTCTGTCATCTCAAGATGTCCTTGTACACCAAATCTTGTTGCTCCAAGGGAAATAGTATTGAAGATATGTCCCGGGAAAAATTCTCGGATGGATGGAAGGACAAAAGGATGGAAGGATTGAGGTACCCCCCTCCCCAGTTTTAAACATATTTAACTATTGTAACTAATGTGACTGGCTACGGCCAGGGAGATGTTTGACATGTTTTATCTTATCATGTGTTTGTATGAATGTTTATTTATATTCTCGTGTGATTGTATGAATGTATCATTATGTATAGTAAATATTATGTCTTTCATGTTTTTTATAAGTAACTAGAATACTGACATGTCAGCAAGGGCCCTCGACCTTAGGAATTTTTTAAACCACTATTGCACATCTGCATATAATTACAGTGTTTCATCATGAGAAATTTCAGGATTTGGTCTTCTGTTAGGCCCTTATCTGATGTCTTTTTGACAGTATGTTCCCGGTTCTATTTTGAGTAACAGTGACCTTGACATAGGAATTTTTTAAACCATTTATGCACATCTGCTTATAATCACTATATATCATCATAAGAAATTTCAGGAAGTTTTGGCCTTCTGTAAGCTAGGGCCTTATATAATGTGTCTTTGACAGTATTCTCAATTCATTTTTAGTAACAGTTATTCAGACGTTCACCTTAGGAACTTTTTAAACCCCTTTTGCACAACCTCTGCACATCACAGTGTATCACCATGTGAAATGTCAGAAACGAAAGTGATGACGGACAGACGGAGGCACGGACAAACGGACGGACGGATGGACACAGTGATTACTATCAAATAACCCAGGAGTTGTCATTTATCGAGGCACAAATGAGTCTATCAATGGTAAAAGTCAATCAATGGTAAGTTAAACAATGGTTAGACTATCATTAATAAGTCTATCAATGGTAATGTTTCTCAATGGTAAAAAAAAGTCTTTCAATGTTAAATCTATATTCTGTTTTTGTTGGGTTCAACTATCAGCATACAATTAAAAAATTTCCCTCAAATAAACATCTACATTCTCATGAAAATTGATTAATTCATATTTCAATATTACTTATCTTTCCTATCAATTACCATAATAATTAATCCACTCAATAACTTCTTACTAATTTTAACCTAAATTCTCAACTAAAATCAAATTTAACAAAAGCACTGACTGACCTCTTCTAGGATATTGATATTTGTCTGCAAAACAGAATGTAGCTGCTTCACTGTTGCCAGATGCGAGTCAGACTGCATAGAGTAAATGGTCTGGTACAGCTTCTCTCTACAAAACAAAAGACTGTCACATATACTATTGTTACTATGACAAACACTGCTATTGTTACCACAGCATACACTATTGTTAAAGTCCACTGCAGCACGTCTGGTTATTTGTACTTGAAAGAGAGAGCACATCACACCAGTGCTATATTCATTGCACTGGCTACCTGTATCTGTACAAAGAGGGGGTTTCCAAAATGGCCCCTCCTTTAATTTTAATTTTCTTTTGGTGAGGTGTAAACCTAAACCTTATCACAACAAAAACACCTACCAAAATTCAAATGAGCACTTGATTCGTTTTTTGTAGGAGCATAAAACTGAAATTCTCAAAAAAGTCAGACTTTTCCCCCCAAAAGACGAATGTTGTCAAACTAATAATGCATTAAAGGATCATTTATGATGCAACCAAATCTAGGAATCATATGCTACAGACAAATCAACAGCCGGAAGCAATCTCAAGTAATGATATTTTCCAAACAAATAATGTGATCATCTCAGAATAAAAGTATCTGTCACGCCGCACCTTGGGGGCTGGGGTGAACTGTGTGTCAGGTGGTCAATCAGGATGTGGATATACGGTTCTTGGTTTTGGGAATTAGCTATGGTAGAATAAGCCACACCCTGACGAGCACGGTCTTTGTGGTTGTACCGTATTAATTAAAGTTCAAAGGAATGAGTCCAGTCCAGATTCTCTTCTTATGCTAGGTTTATTAATTTACATAAAAGTCAGTATGTTATAAATATAACAAGTCAGTACTTTCAAATCTTGGTGCTGGCCTATACTTTAAAGTTGGTAAAGTCCATTGGTCCAGTGTATCAGACCAGCACCTCTTCTCTCGCTCCTGTCTGTGTCTCAACTCTCTCTCTGTGCTCTCCCTTGTACTCACCACAAAAACATATTTACAAAATAGATAGAAACAAGCAAATTTGTGCCCCCGCTTGCAGGACATATTGTAGGTTAACATTATTGAGGTTAGGTTTAAAGGGACATCCCGTGAAGAGCCTTTTTTTTTTTAATGAATGTATGTATTGTATGCACTTCCACTTATGTTACCTCGCTATCCCCATATTCATAGTCCGTTCCAAATGTCCAGTTTGACCACTTGAATTGTTCGGGAAAGCCCTGCAAAAAATAGCGCTGATAACGTCACCTGACTAGGCAGTAAACACAAGTGGCCTGAGCGAGTTGAAACGGTTTCCAAAGGGGCCCCCAAAGAGGGTCCGTCGGGCAACTGCCACTTCTTACCACACTATGAAACCAAGTAATCTGATTTCTAAGTCTGTATTTAAACTTATTGAACAGTAATTATTCATCCTTATTGAACAGTAATTATTCATCATCAGAAGTTAATTGCATACTTGCCAATAATCAGAATTTAAATTTATTTAGCTTTTAACATATTTGTTGCCAATAAAATTGAACAAGGGATGGGGCACAAGTTTTTACAATTTTCAAATGTTTTCATAAAGTGCATATAAGCAATGACAAATTACACGCGTATAAAAAAGAGAAACGTTTGTGATTTTTTTTATTACATTGTACAACTCAATATCTTTGGCCATTTTTTTCCCCATACCATGCATATAAATTTATGTATACTTTCTTTCCCACTTTCACTGTCTCCATACGCTAACACTTAGTAAGTCATATTAGCCATCACACACACTAAACTGTATGGCAAAACCACTACGTATACGTGTACATGTAGAATATGTGTCAGATATGGGACGTGTTGAGATGCTTGATAATGAATTTTTTTCAATACTTTTCATAGATTAAAGCATTCTTGTCAATGGACCCTTTTTATGTTGAGCCAACTTTTCTTTAACCATTTCATTTTTGTCCGAAACAGAAGCCGTAGTTATCGGCAGCACGCGTCATTTTTACAACGAATGTTTCTTCCCCTGTTTTCAATATGTATTCCGATTCTATCTGAAGTCGAAAATTAATTCTTTATAGAGAAAAGGTTGTTACATGATCATACATTCTAAGTCAACATCATATGAAAACATGAACTGTTGAAAAATTACGATTTAAAAGAAAATATTACGCGATCCTATATACTAGAAGTAGGTTCTCCTTCCTCAGTTATTCATCCTGGCCTGTCATTTTGACATTTTTAATCTAGCTGCGATAATGTAGCTTTCTGATGACGAGAGATTTTTTGTATATATTGCGTCGTCGCGCCAGAGGAGGCCGGGTATTCATATTAGTACTAATTTAAATCTTGCATGTTAATTTTTTTATTTTTTTTAAAATCAGCAGCAATATAATAAAATCATACCATTTTACTGAACCTGGTAATATTATAAATTATGTAAATCTAATAGCGCACATATCTCATTTGACCCCGATCGCGTGAGACGCCGTGGCCATCGCAACAGTTATCCCTTGGAGGGCTTCATGGCAAAATCAAACTAACCAGTCATTTATCCCTTCCTTTCGCATAAACCAAAGTAAACTCTCTCCGATACATGCCCATTAACATGTATATTAAACTAAGTTCATCTGTGTTAAAATTATTAACATATATATTAAACTAAGTTCATCTGTGTTAAAACTAAGACAAAGATACTAGCGAGGTTAATAGTTTTAGATATTTATTCATAACATAAACAGCCCTAGCATTTCTGTCGATTCCATTTCAGCTTAACCGGTTATCCGGAAGAATACATGCACCGTACTAACTGCTAGGGCAGTTATTTTCTCGTTTGAATACTTCCCACCTACAATGATGATTCCGTAACGTACTCCTTACGCTATCTTTTGACCATTTGGCAACTTTTCGCTTCGTAGCTGACACGGTACAACACTTTTATTTCGCTTACTTCACCCGGCCAGTCATTTTGTTAACAAAGAAATGGTGTGCTATGAGCATGCGCTAGTAGAGCGAAATCCCTGAACAAAACGTTGGTCAGACAGGTAGAAATACCGATGATTATCTTAGATTTAATCATTTTTATGAATCTATTTCAGGCAAATCCGATCGTTATTTTCCATAAGGAGTCTCACTTGATATGATTATGAAGTATTTGAAAAAAAAGCCAAAAAATTAGTTACTTCACCGTGATGCCCCTTTAAACATGTGGGTATCTTGCTGTTGAGACATAATTTATAGCTTGAAACTTGAAAAAAAAAGCCTTGTACCTCATTGATTATCCATAAATATGCACAAATCACATCGGTTGGCAAACTTAGCATGAGTTAGATGTGCATAAGGAATTTGGTTGAAACATCTTAACAATATCAAGTACTAATTGTAATGGTCCACCATTACAGATGTAATACATTATTCAAGGGCCATAACTCCGCCAAATGGGGTCCGCTGAAAGTGGTTATCGAACTTGGCCGAGCCCTTCAGGCATTTAACCCTGTGACCAAGTTTGAAGAAAACCGGTTAATATTTGTTGTAGTTATTGCACGGAAACGAAGCGTGACAGACAGACAGACAGACCCAAATAAATATCCCCCGCTTTCACCCGATAATTATAAAATACAATTTAATTGGTAAATATATAAGAAATAATTATCTAACATACAATTCTATTGGCTAGTTTCTAAATTATGGGGCAGAGTCAGTTATAAACACAGGTTAATTTCTGTTTAGACAGATTACATAATATAGTTCCTGACACCATATGTGCGTATGGGGTATAATAGACATATCAACATAACATTTTTCGTGTTATCGCCCTTTGCAAAGCGACGGTGGCGCCCAGAGTAAAGCAACTTCAGTTTAGGTAGGCGTCTATGGATACGGTAGAAGCAATCGTAGAGTGTTCGCCGTCTCCAAGTTGTAACGCTGTCTAATGTAATTTGTGTGTGATAGATAATACCCAATTGTAATCATTATATACTTTTTTTAAATTTTATACAACTTTTTCAATATGTTATAGTTATTACACGCAGATTTTACAACGTAAACAGCAGGCTGTAATCATGGAGATTGAAGGTCCTGGTGATATGACTCTAGATTTTTTTATATGGAGAGTTGATTCTCGCGAACTTTTTCGGGAAAAAAGAGGATTAAGTAAGAAGGGTATTAATTGTGAACAAGCTGCACTTTGTTATGCTGCAAACAAAATGAAACTTCCGATAAAGTTGACATGCGAGGAGAGAGTTCATTAGTTGCAGAACTTACCAGACGCTATGGCTGGGACGTGGTTCTACCCTGGATCCATTATATATGCCCGTGTGACTATATCTATGTAATGTGTTTAAACACATATAAATACTGCTTATTTTATTTGTAAACTAATGAATATTTTTTTTTTTTTTTTAAAAGCTTAATGCTTAAATAACCATCGTTTTTTTCAAATGCAGACACGGAAAGGGCAAATGTCAATACAAAAATTATGTTAAAATGTTAAAACATTTCTTCATTTAACGTAACTGTCCTCTGGTAATTAAGTGCAACTTTGGTTGATTAATAGGGCCGGACATTTCGGTGAAATTATCGCGAGCACATTTTCATGCTCTGTTTTTTTGGCGATTCCTGCGGTGTTCAGTATTGTTAATATGTCATTTGTAGAAGTAAAAAAGACAGTTTTCTAGCACACATGCTTAGGGAACTTTTCAGCTTTTAGAGCTTTATCAAATGTTGACAATTCACATAAGATAACTAAGCTTGAAAGTTTGCGTGTGCGCGGCCAGTTCATAGTCAGCGGTACCAACGACCTACATACATAAAGAGTACTGCAACTGTTGCATGCTGAGTCAGCTCAGGAACTTGTGAGGTTTGAAGCTTGATTATGTGATTTATTATTTCGAAATTGTTGTTTTTCAACGTTTTAGAAATGGAGCTTTGCCCAATCTTGGTTCAAACACTTTTCTATTATTCTTGGTACATCAGTGTACTGCGACTGTTGAATGGTATAAAGTATCTAAACCCTGAATCAATTTGGGATTTCAGAAGTTGGAAGCTGGATTGTTAAGTGTAAGTGATATATTAATTCACGGAATTAGATTGGATGTAAGTCTGTGATTAATTTAAGTAAAAAATATTATAAGTTATATACATATTAATTTAGGTAAAAATTAAACAAGAGGCCCAATGGGCCTGAATCGCTCACCTGGTATTAATCTCACACTTGTAATCTTAAAAGTGGACTAAAATACAGCTACAGGCAGAATATCAGTGTTTGATTCATAAGACCCTATTAAAAGA